ATTCTGTCTTCCTCTCTCTCTGCCTCTCCCCAGCTTGCACTCTGTCTCTCTGTCTGAAAAATAAATAAACGTTAATTTTTTTTTAATGTTTCAATAGAAGCAATGTAATTTCTAAAGCCCTGTTAAAATTAAAGTTCTAAAATCAAATTTCACACTTGACTGTACCTTAGAGATTTAGGCCAACTCCTGATTGTATAGATGAGGAAAGCAAGGCACTGAAGCTTGCAGCCACATTTTTGGTGCTGTGGACCTTCAGGGTCTACCAGAAAAATTGCCAATTATACATATCACTTTTTCTTTGAAAATGTACTGTTTCTAACATAAGGAAATATGGATGTTTTTCCTATTTTATCTTTAATGAAACTGTACCAAGGACTCTTCTAGAATAAGTATAACAGGCCCACACATGTAGTTCTTATATTACTGTCATTTTTTTTAATCCAGAAGAAATCTGTAATGCTGAAATACTTTGACCTCTTACACAGGTGGGTTTTGTGGGCTTTTTAGAGTAGGGTCCTTCTTAAATTCCATTATGTTGTATTTTATAGTGTCTGTGACGTACTTGTCTTTGGCTAACCTGATACACTTAATGTTCTTTCTTGAACTAATTATTCATTAACCAAACATTTTCTGGGAAGCGTTATATCTCACTGTGTTAATGATGGATTTCTTTGTATAGATGTTAGGAAATTTTTGTTTTAATTGTTCTTTTATGTGTTTCCCTATCTACCTACCCTATAGGGAGCCACATTTTAGTTTAAGTCTAGGAAAGACAGAGCAGTTCTATAGTTAATACCCACCTAGAACTCCAAGTGCACATAAGAAATAAGAAAAAGCCATGTTTGTTTTAGACTTCAGGATCATCAGAGTCCTTAAGGAGCTAAGACGTGGCATGCAATGCTTCCCTCTCTCTGATGATAACTTCTGGATTCCCTTGTTACATCAAGCTGGGCATTTCTATGTGCTTTTTTATTTAATAGACTCTTTCATGTGTTGGAGTTTCAACAGCAGTTTTCTCATGGGAGGTCTCTTTGACTCCTCCAGCATTCGAAGCTCCTTGTCACAGGAGGTTAATAATTTTGATATTGACGTAGCTTCACAAACGTTTCACTCCTCTTTATTGTTCCTGATACTTCTAAAACACGTTTGTTTTTTCCCCTTTTGTTATTATTACTAGGAAATAACTCTACCAAAATAGTCCCTTCTTTGTTTACAATGTGTTCTATGGCTTCCATAATGCCATCACCAAATGAATAATCTACCAAGTAAGAAAATGGGGAGGGCGGGAGGCAGGGGAAGCAGGGATGGGAAAGCTACATATAGTCTGTATTTATCTTTGTTTGGGATGGGTTTTCTTGGAATCCTTGTTACTAAATTTTAGATACAAAACTATCTAATAATAATTTTATTTTAATAATAACTTTATTTAACTTGGCAGAAATTGTCAGAAGATCTAGGACCCCTGGGGACCCAGGAAAGCTGGTACTTTCTTCTTGCACTCCTGAATGCTGCTACTGGAGACATGTGCACATTCACTGAAGGTTAAAGTGCATGTCACGTTTTACCTTACTTCCCTGTCTCCACTGCAGCTTGCAGAATCACCTACTTCTCTTGAATTGGCTGCAGATGACAGTAGTGTGCTTGGGAAAGTTGCAGTGTCCAGAACCTGGGGCATCCAGGCTTTTCCTACTCTTACTCTTGGTGCTAATTTAAACTTGAGGACAGTGGAGAGTTTCACCTTGTATAAATCGTCTACTACAGTATTTCTCAACCTTGGCCCTCCTGACATTTGGAGCTGCTTGATTATTTAAGGGGATGTGCTTTGCATTATAGGATGTTTAGCAGCATCCGTGGCCTCTACCCGTGAGATGCCAGTAGTACTTCCCCAGCAGTGACAACCAAAAGTGTCTCCCGACATTGCCTGAGGGAAGAAATTGCCCGAAGGACAAAATAACCTCACACTGAGAACCACTGGTCAAGTGTTAGACTATCAGACCAATCCTATGCGCCATTCTGAAAGTGATTATGAACCATAATAGCCAAATAATTTAGGGATTCGATTACTTAAAACTTGATTATACACCATTGTATTCACAGTAATTTAGTCATCTGCATGTACTTTGTTTCCTTTACTCAACCCTAATTATTTTTTGCAGAGATTTCATCAAAAAATTTTAACTTTGTTATTAATCTATTGTTTCATATCTATAACAACAACACTTTTTTTTTTCTAAAGAAATAATTTATCTGGAGGGAATTCCTACATTGATAGAATACTACAAACATTAAGGTTGATGGTATTGACAAACATTTCTTTTTTTGCCCCTTTACTTCGCACAAGCCTGTGCTAAAAGGTGTCTGAAGTATAGGAAGTCTCATGCCCTGCCCTTAGAGAGGTATGGAGTTGGGCTGCCCTGCTCTGGCCAGTGAGATAATGAGTCACTCAATCAGGCAGTGATGAATGAAAATCCCTAGGAATACTGTGCCTGAGCATGAGATACTTTATCCATTTGAAACGTAGTTTCTTAGTTTGAAAAATGGGTCATTTGTGAGCATTAAGCAGTTAAGTATTGTTTGAACAAACACTTTGAATGCATAGGACCTGGCAGGTATTGGTCTAGTTCTAGGTAAATAAGACCAGGAGTGTACCTTGAGAAGCTTGTGAAAAGCTCTTGAAACAGTTCCTAGAATTTTTAGAGACTTGATATGATTGTATTCCATAGATTTGGATACTGTTCTAGGTAAAAAATATAATGGTCTTTTTTTCTCTTAATACTAAGAGATTATTTCCTTTTTTAGAAAGAACCAATAATTCCTGTTCAGGTTGAAACTTGTTTTTTCTTCCCAGTTGCTTATGGTCTCAGTCTCTGAAGTGTATTATAATAATTGATTTCATATAATCCAACTTTTAAAATACGATGGAAATGGAATCAAATAACAGGAATTGTGCACAATTTGTGAAGTCACGCATAAATGTTAAACCCAAGCTGAATTAATTGGTTAGTGTGATTCATGTAATAAGTAAGCTAATAGGAGAAAAGGAGAGAGCCTGTGGGTATTTAAAAATTTTTTTAAACTTGAAAACAATTGTGCTAAGGTAATCTTAGCAACATTTGAACATGCAGATAAGTTTGGGGAAGCAGAATCTATTTTGCAGTCTGCTTTTTTCCCACTTAATATGTACAGTTTCTACATGAGATACTATATTATATTAAAAATATAGTTAGCACCCCTCCATTACCTTCCCAGGATGATTTAATCATGCTCCTGCTTTGGATATTAGGTTGTTCCAAATTTTTTGCCATTATAAGCAGTGCTACATTAAACATCTTCATAAAGTCTTTCAGGTACTCTTACCAAGTCAAAGTCTATGTCTAGGGCACATGAGAGTGTATGACCACTTATACACCAACAGCATGAGAGTACCCTTTTCCCCACATGATGGGAAATCTGAGTCCTAGGATTCTTTATTTCTGTCAGTTTGGTAAGGAAGAAAATGCAGCTTTAAAACTGTTTTAAAGTTGAGTGGGTGCTTGTTACTTGACATTCGTTTGATATAAAGTAAGGTCAGTAGTGGCTTGAGGCTGTTTATTTTAGGTGACTCCTTTAATAGTAATAATTTACTTATACCTTGATATGCAAATACATATTTAATAATTATTCTAAAATACCATATTCTCTAATCAGCCTCTAATTAAGGTCATCAAGCACTTCGATTTATATGATAGTTGTATTTTGTGCCTGTCCACATTTAGAATAAACTCCTCCTGTATAAGTTAAGTCGATTCTGTTTTAGAAAGCGTGATACTTTCTTCTATAAAGAGTAACTGATGTTCCCAAGCACTTCATAAAAGCTCAGTTTTGTAATCCTTTCAGAATTAAAGTGCATAATGCACCCATGAGCACACTTTCACTTTCCCCAGTTGTGAGAGGGCTGTGAGGGCAGGCAGTGTACTCAGTCCGTGCCCTCCTTAACTCTTTCCCAGCACAGGACTCTGGATGGTCCTGTGCATGGGTGATTTCACTTAAAACTCATGAGAGTTTTGTGAGGCATGTAGTGTTATTCCTCATTTTACAAATGAGGAAAGTGGGACATAACAGGTTTTCAACATCTTGCTCAAACTTGCAAATATCAAATCTGTGATTCATACTCAAATCCATTTGATTTCAGTCCCATTCTTATAACCAGACACTGCAGCAGGCAGCTGAGACTGCATTAATTATGTCCTTTATTTTGGTTGACAATTCACTGAAACACAAATGGGAAATACCACAAACATTCAAAGTCCTGTCTTGACTAGTGAGGTGATGAAAATTTGCAGCATCCCCAAATTTGTTCATATCCTCGGACCTTGCCGAAGTGCCCTCCATCTGAGGAGATGTGTCTCAGTAATTACGAGGAGAGGAAGTGACTGATATTTTATGGGTGATACTCCACAGGTGCTCATTAATTGAATTGAGGTGATCTCGTCAGAACATTGAATAGAAGTGAAGAGCTTGACTAAAATGTCTCTTCTCTAATGTTAAAGAGTATAACTTGCAGTGGGTTAAGGTGCAGGCTGCTTCTAGTATTGGCTCATTATTAGAATGAACTTTCATGTGCTACAGTGGCTATCTGGCCCCAAACAAACAAAACCCGACAATATTCCTTCCTTTGAAGCTAGTATCACAAGATCCAGTTACCTTATTTTACATGAATCTTATTGTGAACACAGTGCCTTATACTTAAACTACAGTTTCCCGTTCTCTATTACAGTTCCCTTGAGAATCTATTTTGTTACCTTATAGTCAAAATGATCTCCTCAGAAGGTATTTTGATCTTGTCACATTGCCACAAAAAATATCCTAAGCCTTCAGAATTAAAGTCCAAACCCCCATGTCATTTTATTTGTTTGTTTGTTTGTTTGTTTTACTTTAAGTTTATTTATTTATTTTTGGAGAGATAGAGACAGTGTGAATGGGGGACAGGCAGAGAGAGAGGGAGACAGAGAATCCCAAGCAGGCTCTCCATGAGAGGCTCTGCCCCAAGATGGGGCTTGGACCCATGAAACCGTGAGATCATGATTTGAGCCTAAACCAAGACGCAGATGCTTAGCTAACTGAGCCACCCACATGCCCTAAAACCCCTTGTTTGCTTTTTAAAGCTTTTTATAGACTGGCCTACCTTCCCGACTTTTTCTTCATTTGCCTGAATCTGTGGCTTACTGAGATTGGTTACTGTATGGGTTTTGCCTGCTAGGCCTAGGACCTTTCTAGCTTGGCACCTTTTAAAAATACTGTATTCCTGGGGCGGCTGGCTGGGTGGTTCAGTCAGTTGAGAGTCCCACACTAGATTTCGGTTCACTTGATTCCAAGGTTCTGGGCCCAAGCCCTGCATCAGCAAGCCTGCTTAGGATTCTCTCTTTCTCTCCCTCTGCCCCTCCCCCATTCACTTGTTTTCTCTCTCTCTCTCTCTCTCTCTCTCTCTCTCTCTCTCTCTCTCTCAAATTAAAAAAAAAAAAAAAATGTTGTATTCCTAAACTTGGGTAGTTCTTCTCTCTTCTCTACCTTTGCAGATCCTTTGTTTCTCAAAACAGTACCCCCCACAATGATTTCTCCTTAAACTGGCAGTAACCATCTTTTTCTCTGTCTACACTTGACCGGTGAATAACCCACAGGCACAGAGGCACTGGGGGATGGAATGGAAGTTTAACACCTTTTCCTCTTATGGGAGCAATCTCCTATAAGTTTCTAACTTCAGAAATATTGAGGACTAAAGCCAGTGAAGGAATGTGTTCTGTGTCATAGAGATGAAACTATATAGAGTTAACAAGGAATTCATGGCTTAAATCAATGGGTACCAAACTTAGCTTTGTAATAAAGCCATCTGGAAGCCTTTAAACAAACAGACCTAGGTCCTTCCCTGAACATCCTGCAGCTTTGGATTTAGAATGGAATGCTAGAATCGCTAGGCATCCTCTGTACGTATTGTGATAAACAAAGGAAGATAATTGTGTTCTTATTTTGCTTCAATGTTCTACAGCTTTTGATACCATTGACCATCATCCATTTCTTTGACACCCTCTTTCGTTCTATCATTTCTTCCCAGTCTTTCTCCTTTGTTTCTTCATTAAATGTTACCCCTTAAAAGACCTTCTGTTGGAAACCAACTTGACAATAAATCTCATATATTAAAAAAAAAAAAAAAGACCTTCTGTGTTTCTCATTATATATACAATTGCCTGGACCTAATTAATTCTGTCTTATATACCAATCATGTCCAGCTATCTTCAGTCTAGAACTTTCTACTGGGCCCCCAAAACATATATACCTAATAGTTTTCAATATTTGGATCACCCATGGATCAGAAAAATTCAAGGCAGATCGTGCCCTAAACTGGGTTTCTTATTTCCACCATTGTCCCTGTCACTTTCCCTACAACTCCTGCTTCCTATTTTCTCCATCACGGTAACTGATACCACCACCCACCCAGTCCCCAAAGCCAGAATGTGGACATAATCTTGCTTCTCAGTCATCTTCCCACACTGGTCTGCACTACCTCCAGCTTATTCTATCCATTTGATATCACTAGGATCTCTTCCTCCCTTGCTGACTCTTCTGTGGACAACTGATGATGTTTCGATTGTAGGAAATGTGAACCAGACTTATTGGCTGGCTTGCTTGGGATATCCAGCTTCCCCTCCCCACCCCCAGCCCCATTACTCTCCCACCTTAAATGCATGTTTTAGTTCAAATGTCTCCTCTAAGAAATGTTCCCTGTCTAGTTAAGGTGTAGTGTACCCCCACCTCTGTCATAGCATTTAACTACATAGCATTCTACAGATGTGGACTACTTGGGGCTTTTGGCACTGTGTCTTTAATATTGTGTCCTAAAAACAGCATAGGATCTAGTATGTAACATACTTCTAAGTGTTAATTGGATGGATGCATGAATAAATTAGCCTATAGTCTCATAGATAAAAATATTTAAATACCTTATTCCTTAAAACTAAAATAATGCATAGACTTTATATAATATTTAGAAAACTACAAAAAAGCAAAAAGGAAGAAAAAGCTTGTAATTTGTTACACCAAGCCAACTACAATTTATTTTTATTTTTGTAGACTTTTGACCTTTTTTCTGTATATGAATTAATATAATGATAGTATGTGTGTATCTATATGTATATGATAATTGGATGTGTATGTGTGTGTAAATGGTATTATGTAAACTGCTTTTACTTACATGTATCTTTCTTTGCCACTAAATATGGAGTGTGCATTTAGTAAGCATGCATTACTTTTCCAATAAGAGGTAAAATCATAAAAATGAGAATTGATTCTCCTCTTAAACTAGATTTACAACAGAAAGATTTCCAAATCCTAAGGACCCTCATGAAGACTAAGCAAAATCCTCTCAAGAGCATTTTCCTTGGAGAAAAAAGGATGAATTAAAGGAATCAAACACTAACCTAGTTTTCTAGTATGAAATCTTTAACCATAGTTAGTGCTGAATTTTCTGACCAAAAGTCCTCTTGCTTTTAACAGGTTCAAGGTTAAATTGAAATCTTTGATGACTGTCGGTGCCAGTAAGATTATGATGTTAAATAATCTCACTAGAGCAGCTTAGGCCCTACTTAGCCCAAACAGGTATATTTCAGAATACAAGCCCTATAATTTTCAGGTATAACATGCAATTGTATCATCCTATATTCTTGTTGTGATGTTTAAAGATAAAAGTGTTATTACTAAAAAAAAAAGTCTCTAAAGCTATCCCTAAAGAAATTATCTTTCTCTCTTTGTATTTAACACAAGTTTAAGTTCTGGAAAACTGCTAAACAAATGTAAGTTATAGAATCATTAGTCACTTATGTCAATGTTCTTTTCTTTTAATGCCTTCAAATGTTTTGAAGTGATGTTGCTTCCTCCCATTCTTTTCCTGGTCACTTTACCTTTTGCTTTTATTAACTTAAAGTTCTAAAATTCATCATCACCTTCTAGAAGCACTATTAGTCAGCCACCCTTCAGTAATTTCAGTAACCAGCTTTGGCAAAAGCGTCAAGTTAATCAGTGACTGTATGGCCAGACCTAAGTTCATGGAAACATAACCCCCTTTGTAGGAGCTCTTCGCTGGGGTGGCTGTGTTTTCTGACGCAGGAGTGAACACCAGCACTTTGGAGTGTAGATCGTGGACTGTTTCCGCTGCAGAATAGTTCATGCCAATGGGTGCTGCACACACTGTTTGGGAGTAAGTATGTAGGAAGTAATTATCGCAAGCTGAAAGGCCTGCAGGAGCCAGGGGGAGGAATGGTGGGAGGGAAGCTTGGGGGGCTAGTGTTAGTCACCAGCTCTAGGGACCAGCTGTTGCGTACCTGTGTGCCTTTGTACCTCCAGCGGAATGCTGCTGTGTGGGAATGTGAGCCTTGGGTTGCTTGGCCTTCCCATCTTTTTCAAAAGAAGTTGAATATGTGTGTCAAATTTCCCCAATTTTTAAGTATTAGCCACTGTTTTAAATAAAAAAGTACAGATGCTGAGTCCAAGGTATGGGCCACCATCCTGAGGCCTCCAGTGTTGATATTAATATAAACTTTTAATTTTTTCTTTTTTCTTTTTTGAGAGAGAGAGAGGATGGAAATGTGGGGCAGGGAGCAAGGGAGGGAGGAAAGAATCCCACAAAGTACAGAGAGAGAGAGAAGCGGGGCTCACCCGAAGTGGAGTTCGTGCTCACCTGATGTGGGACTCAAACTCATGAACTATGAGATCATGACCTGAGCTGAAGTCAGATGCTTAACGACTAAGCCACCAGGCACCCAATTTCTTCTTATTTTTAAGTGATCCTTTTTATAACTGTAATTGTTCCGATCAGTGATTCTCAGAAGAACTTTCGTATTATTTTTGGTGAACTAGGACAATATAGCATATTTAGTTGGTATTTTGTAAATAAATTTTCTTTTTATGAATACACTAAGACCTTTAAGAATGAGCATTACACCAGGGCAGTACTAACCATTGGTTTCATTTGGAATTGTAGAATATTGAATCTGAAAGGGACCTTACAGGGCAAGGAGAATGACCTTTTTCATATAAGGACCTTGGGTCAGGCCATTGAGGTAGGTTTTCAGAGGTGGTAGTTTCTTAGTACACAACCTCTGTGATCCGCAGTGCTTTGCGTTCTTGGGCTTCCCTGGCTGTATTCAGAATGGGGCCTGGGGAAGTTTTAGATTGAAGTGCACTGGACTATCTTTAATTTATAATCAACAATACAAGTGAATGAGAGGACTGCATACATGTATATTTCCTTACTCTCTGGGTCACATTCTTACTCTCTTCTTCCCTTTCCTTGTCTTACTATTTCCCATTCTCTGTGCCATAACATATGTTTCTAATGCATAGCTAGTAAATTGTTTGATGGTTCCTGCTTATAATTTTTAAATCAGGTGGTTGAGGGATTATATCTTGCTGTGTATTTCTTTTCCTACTGGTGAGTGGCCCTTGATAAGACAAGAATGCCTTAACTGCTTCTAGGTCATTTTGGTCAAGTTTGTTGGTCTATGTGGTAGCAAGATTTTAGATAATCACATGGAAGGGACTTTGTAAAAGGTCTGTCTGAAAGTAGATAGAACTTCCTTGTACATTTAATGTTTCAGACACCTATTACGAGGAGCTAGGTTTTCTTATCTTCATTTTAGAAGCTCAGAGAGATTAGGGAACTTTCCCAAAGCCTCCAGCTAGTAACAAATGGAACTAGTTCAGGAGTTCACGTCTTTCTTTACCTTAGACATGTGTGCTTTTTTACTTTACCTCATAACTATGTTTAAATAAATAAATAAATAAGGGAAAAAAGGTTAACAGTAACTGAAATCCCACCATAGCTAATTTTAAGAAAATACATCGTGGGGCACCTGGGTGGCGCAGTCGGTTAAGCGTCCGACTTCAGCCAGGTCACGATCTCGCGGTCCGTGAGTTCGAGCCCCGCGTCAGGCTCTGGGCTGATGGCTCAGAGCCTGGAGCCTGTTTCCGATTCTGTGTCTCCCTCTCTCTCTGCCCCTCCCCCGTTCATGCTCTGTCTCTCTCTGTCCCAAAAATAAATAAACGTTGAAAAAAAAATTTAAAAAAAAAAAAAAGAAAAAGAAAAGAAAATACATCGTAATTGTACCTAAAGCCCATATACCTAAAGTATGAATAGTAATATTTTGTTCCAAGCATCAATTCAGATTTTTTTTTTTAATACAATTTATTGTCAAGTTGGCTAACATACAGTGTATATAGTGTGCTCTTGGCTTTGGGGGTAGATTCCCATGATTCATCGCTTACATACAACACCCAATGTTCATCTCAACAAGTGCCTTCCTCAGTGCCCATCACCCATTTCCCCCTCTCCTCCACACCCCCATCAACCCTCAGTTTGTTCTCTGTATTTAAGAGTCTCTTATGTGTTTGCCTGCCTCTATGTTTGAAACTACTTTTTTCCCTTCCCTTCTCCCATGGTCTTCTGTTAAGTTTCTCAAGTTCCACATACATCAACTCAGATTTTTCATCATGTTTTATATCCCTCAACCCTCTAGTTTTGTCAGTTACGGAGTTTTAAGGAAACAACAGTGAGACTAACCGTAAAGGAAATGGTGAAGCATATTGCTTGAGACCATGAACTGACCTAAGGTTGATCCCAGATCTACCCATAACAAACTGTGTGGTGTTGGTCAAGTTAATCTGTTTAAGCATCTCTTTCTTCTTATGTTAAACAGAAATGATAATTATCCTGGCTACCTCATGGGGTTATTATGAGGGAAAAAATGAACTTGTCAATGCACTTAAAGTTATTTATGCCACTACCCTTACTATTACTTCTCTTAATGCTTTGCTGCCTCTGAGGTAAGGCTGCTGCCTTCCAAGAACTTATATCATTTACCTTCTTTGAATTTCTTTTTCACAGATGACAATTTTATCTGCTAAATGGGGATTTGTAACTTGAATATGATGGCTTCTTTGGAGTGAATCCCTAAAGGAGCATTGTGGTGATGATAAGGATCTTTGAAGTTTATGAAGAAATGTAACCAAGCTCCAATTTGTAACTAGACAGAAAACCTACACAAAGCCTGAGTACCAGGTTTTGGTGTATTAGCTGCTGCTGGATGAGTTGGCGCTGCTTTTGTGCCTGGAGGACAATGTGGGCAAGCTTCTCCTGTGTCTGCTGCCGTGTCTGGGCTCTGGTCTTGATCTCTTGGCTGGATCACTAATGTAGCCTTCTCAACAGATCCTTTGTTTCTAGTCCCATCTTTTCCTGACCTTCTCTACTTGGCTCCACAGTGGTCTTTCTAAACTATAGATCTGGCCAGGCCACTTCCTACTAAAGCCCTGGCTGTTGCCTCCACAGTGTCCACAGTGATTCTTTCTCAAGCTTCAGTCACTCACACATTCCTTCACCAAGATTCCCATGTCTGCATACCATCTGTCCTACTGTTTACTTAATAGTTGTCTTCAGAAAACTTTTGTCAGTTATGTTTTTACTTAGCCTTTTCCTGAGCAGTGATATCTGTGAAATCAGAAATTTAATGTGCCAGCTGTATTTACTACTAGTATTCTTTAAGTAAAACTGTAGCTATTAAAATGTGTTCCTCTGTGTACCATCTGAAGTCACTGGAGCTGCTCCTAATACACTTTGGAGAACAGTAGCCTCAGGGTAAAATCCAAGCAGTTTATCTTGTGCTCAGCACTTTCTGTGACCCACCCAGTTACCCAGCCCCTCTGGCTTTTTCATTCTCCTTTCCGGCCATTCCATTGAGCAAAGACTCCCTCTTGCTCTTTCATTCCACCCCTCAGGAATTCCTGTTCTGCACCTCCCTGCTCAGATGCCAACTGTCTTCTGTCCCTGTGTTGTTGGAACTGTTTGGATTTTTTGTTTGCTCCTTTAACCTGAGTCCTCTAGGGCAGAGCCTGGGTCTCCTCCATCTCCATGGCCCTGTCCTCATTACAAAATCCTCAATTAGAAGTCATCCGCGACCTGACTACATTGCCCTTCTTTCTACTGTGTCCACTTTGCCCTCCTTCTAGCATCACCCTGCTCTTAAATGCCATGTCCTTTTGCACATGTTCCCTGCAGTAGAATGCCATTTCCCCTCCCTCAGCAGTCAGAGTAATGATGGCCCCTGGCCTCTGATCCCAGCCTGAGAGGATTCTTCTCTAGGCTTACCCTTGTCATCACTCTTTTTTAAAAAATAAGAATAATAAAGGAAAGAGGCAGCAGCATAAGAATGGATGTTAGAGCAAAGGTACAAGAGCCTCTTGCTGGAGGAAAGAGCACATTTTGGAGATTGGCACAAAACAAAGCTCTCAGGCACCCCCAAGGAGTTTGAATTTGTCCTTAAACCTACAGGGAGACTTTGGAAGGATTTTATACAGCTGGGTGAAAGTGATCAGATTTGCATTTTGTAAGATCACTTCTGCCTTCCTGTCGTTTCTTCCTGGCTTCCTTCCAGGACTACTTCTCTTGCTTCCCCCTTAAATATTTGGCTCTGTAGGATCTAGCACTTGACCTCATTCCCTGCTCACATATGTTACCAAGCCCACTGCTACCTGCTACTGGCCAGTGTGGACGTAATTACTGGTAATTGTATTGCCTTGACCAGAGGTATCCTTAGGCAGCCAAGGCCAGGGAAGTTCAGTGACTCATCAGAAACCACAGGTAAGTTCCTGAGTGGGTTTCAAAAAAAACCGTCAACAGGCTTTTAGAAGTCAAGACAAACGATGACTGTTGAAATTGACAGTAGATCACTTTTGAAAAAATCAGCTTCACTGAAGCAGGGAGGGAGTCAACAAGGTTAAAAACTCTGCCTCCATCCGGAGAGTATCTGAGGCAGGTTTAACAAAGGGCGTATGCTAAAAGGTTAATAAAATCAGAATAGAAGAATTCCAGAATGAAAAGAAGTTGGAAGATATGCTAACCCAAATGCTAACAATATGCTCTGAAGGGAAGATTGCATACAGGAAGGGAGTTTTAGGGAGAAACAAAATCCAGAGGCTTTTATATTGATGGATGGGGAAATGCAAGTAGGTTTGTGGATTAAGATGAAGGAAATGAAGGCATGGAGAGGTAGGGTGGAAGTAATGGAGGAAGTTCACCAAGCATCAGGACTGTCGAAAGTACAGATGAGAGGGTTAAAATGGGTAAAAGAGAAGTTCCTTCTTCTGAAGAGAAAGATGCTAAGAGGGAAGGTGGAGGGGAGTGCATTATTGGGATGGTATAATGGAGAGTCCTCTGTTCAGAGAGGAAGGCAGGTAGGAGAGCAAGGTAGAGGGCTTGCAAAAGCAGAGGTCTGGCATAGCTACTGCTTAGAGAGTAAAGGAAATGAGTTAGGGGTCAGTAGGGAGCCCCATGAGGGAGGGAGGGTTTTCTTAGCCAAGGTTAGGTGCCTTTGATTTGTAGTGAATCCATTAAGCACAAATAAGAAAACCCAGCAACATCCGTCGTCCCAAGAGAGGAGTCAGCAAGGTGATTGTTTCTGTGAGAAGGTGTTTGGAAGGGCAGGTGCAGTAGGAGGATCAAAGCTGAACTTCTAGGGCATGCCAGTGAGGATGAAATGGAAAGATTGGCCTGAAGTATGTGAATCCAGGAGGGGCTGATGGGGAGAGAGGAAAAGTGGGGGTCAAGGTGAAAGCAGAGCTGGAACGGAAAGGAGGAGGAGTGGGTGAAGGGGAGGTCTGCAAAGGGACAAGGAGGGAATTTCCAGAACTTTGAGGCCTGTCTTCAGAGGTCAGGGTTGACTTCTGAGAACTAATGACCAGGAAAACCCAGTTAGCCAAAAAGAACCATTCCAAGAATTAGGTTAAATAAACTTACAGTCACTCTAATATAGAAGGAAAAAAGATGAGGTCATATCCTCTTCCTTGCCCCCCCCCTCCCCCAATTAAGTTGTAAAAAATAAACAAAGGGTAGAGAATTGAGCAGAAGTAGAACTAGAAAGAGGGACATTGATTCCTTCCATTTGGTCTCCAGAGGCCGAAGAATTAAGTAATCAGATTGGTTCTAAATGAACTTTAATGTTCTCTTGTGGCACAGGCCATTTTAGTTCTTCATTCCTTTTGCTTTTCCTTCAGAAGCATAGTATGAGGGCCATGTCCATGTGAGAAAATGAGTTTTTATGTGAGAGGCTGTTGTTGAGGGAAATTAGAGTGTCCTGGTGCCCTGAACATATCTGAGAGAAGGGACATGAACATTTTCCATTAGGATGCCCCATTTGCGGAACGTACTTTTGAGGTTTCTCATCTCAGCTTACCTGAGGCTTCCCAAGGTTGGAGTGACTTTGTTGGTGGCAGAGATAGAGCCTACCCCCTGAAACCAGAAGGAGGCTATTCAGGGCTTCTCTCTTGTCCATTTCAGCCAGTGGAGAAGCATTCCTAGAAGCACGGCTGAGGTGAGGCGGCTGTTCTGTGATGTTGCCCAAGCATGGAACAGAGTCTTGGCAGTGCTGTGAGCCTATTGGCAGAAGGTATAGGAGGAAGAAGAGCTAGAGGGCAGCATGTGCCCTAAGGGCCACCTAAGGCACCTCACTAATATTACTTAAGCTTCATTAATGAAACCCAAAGCCAAGGAAGTAGTTGACCTATACTATGAGACATCTGTGGACAGGTACAGAAATGTACTGTCTTCCTTGCAGTAGAGAATTCATAAAAGAAGAGGCAGTTAGCTTAGACTAGCTGGAACAGTTCCAGAGAGGGTGTGTTTGAGCACATTATTGAATGTGCTAAGCCTCAATTTCCTGATCTTTAAGTTGGGCATGGTAATACTTGGCCTCTTAGAGCTGCTGTACAATGTAACGTCCTTGAGAGAGGGAATCACATCTTTTTAGGTCACTGATTATGTCATCAGTATTGCTTAAAACATAAGCTCACTTCTCTGTTTAATATTAAAAATTTTTATTACTCTGGCCCTCTTTTCTGTGATACTTTGAGAATACCCCTTCCCTCCTTTCTAGATCCTGTTTTCTATGGTAAGTCCAAAATGCTTCACCCAGTGTAAAGGGCTGCTCTGGCTGCTCTTTGACACACTACAGGCTGTTCCAGAATAGGACACTCACTCTGGCAACAAACAAATCCAGAGGCTTGATTCACCACTCACTGGAAACCCAGCAGTCCCAAGGGAAGAGGTTTGGGAGAAGAGGCCCTTTAATCAGGTCATCCCAGATTCCTGCCCCAGACTGAGATATTTATTGTAGAGAGAATGGCACTGGCAGGCAAGAATGCTTTATGCCAACATTGACCTTGTCCCCACCCCTACACCTTGTTATAGCTTCTGAGAAACTTACACATATGACATAAGTAGCCATTTCCTTCCCTGGTATGCCCAGTGTGGCAGGTAATTTGGTCTAAGTTTTACCATCAGCACACTCTGCCCAAATTGACCTATTCCCAAAATAATCATGGCATTCATAAGGATCCCAGGTTATCAGTCTAAACCATTCCCTCCACTACCTTGAAGAGTTTCTTTTCAAGAGGGGTGGGTGGGGAAAAGGATATTGCCTTTTTCTATGGGTTTACCTCTATTTGGAACACCTTAATTAATCAGAGATGCTTTAATCTGAACTTAAAAAGGGAGGGTATTAGGCACAGGATTCCTCCTTCCCAGGAAATCTTTTGGACTTTATACAAATCTTCCCTCTCTCTCACCTTCTAACCCATCCCCCTCCAAGTGGATTGTAAGAAAAAGTTGTCTTCATCAAGTACGGAATGTCCAATTATACCTTCCTCCAGAATAATAAATCCTACTCACCCTCACATCTACATAATTAAAAGGACCGCTCAAAGGGTCTCCTCAAGCAACTTAATGTCTTCGTCACCAAAAAGGGAAGTGACTGGCAATTTCTAGGATAGGATCTCTCATTAAAATCTTTATTGGCCCACAGTTTGCACAATTTATATTTTCTTATTATGTCTAAGAAGGAATGAAATTCTCTGCTGGGGGGTGGGGGGGGGGGTGCGCCTGGGTGCTCAGTTGGTTAAGCGTCTGACTTCGGCTTGGGTCACAATCTTGCAGTTCGTGTGTTTGAGCCCTGTGTCGGGCTCTGTGCTGACAGCTCAGAGCCTGGAGCCTGCTTCAGGTTCTGTGGCTCCCTCTCTCTCTGCCCTTCCCCCATTCGTGCTCGCTCTCTCTCTGTCTCTGTCTCTCTCTCAAATGTAATTTTTTAAAAAGAAAGAATGAAATCTTAATTCCAAATCTGCACCTCCCTCCTCATTCCCTTGCAGTCTTGCACAGGGATATGTGTCAGCATGAGCTTTTATCGTGCTTCTTCCGTGTCCATACTTACACAGTGACTTTCCCTATGAGGGTCAAATATTGGAGAACAAATGAGCAGTCCTTCATGGAAAGTAGGTCCAAAAAGTGACAAAAATGTGTCTGGTGTCAGAACCAGGAAGTTAACTGGGAAGCAATTTAGAAATCAGTGTGGAATAAGGGGAGGGCTTTCTAGTATGATTGAAAGAACCCTAATTGTCACCTCAGAAGATCTAGCCCTGGCTGTGATGCTGATGGTGGACTTCAGAGCCCCCATTCTCTCATATTTAAGGAGAGTTAGTTGAATTAAATAAAACCAATATCCCCATCAGCTCTAATATTCCTGAAGGTAATCTCTATGAGGGCAATACTGGGAGTTGAAGGAAGCAGTGCCCTCTGGCCAGAGACCACCAGAAACCTACTGAAGTTGAATGAGTTGGGTTGATTCATTGCTGTGAGAGTGAATGCACACCATGGGACTGTGGGCCATCTCAGAAAGAGGGTGCTAGAAAGGAGGGCAGGATTTAGATTTGTGTTAGGTGATTCAGGGGAGGACTTACGGGAGTGGACATTTGGTCTAGATTAGATGCTATCAGGAAGCAGAGGTCATTCTATGATTGGGTATCTTACAAGTCTTATCTAAGAGGAAAGAAGGAAGGAAGGAGTAGACTAAAGAGCTCAATGCTATAATTAGTAAAGCAGCAGAGTCACTCATATCACCCAGATTGGAGGGCTGTTGGTCATTTTTGTGGCTGGACAATGTTCATGTTTTTAGTTTGTGTTCAGATATGAGACCTCAGAGGGGTCTTGTTTTTGTTGTGATTCATCATGGACAAAGAGTGGTCTTGTCAGATGTTGATGTTTTGTGAAATTGTTTATGTTCAACAGGAGAATATGAGGACCTCGCTGTGAGTGCCACGCCAGCTTTTAACAACACTTGGGCCTGGCTGATAGGCCCAGGCTAGCTGGCAGGTATCAGGGACTGCTTTTTCCTTTCTCACAGGAAAACTAGCGAACAAATAATTAGGAAATCCTTTTATTCATTGTAGATATGAGCATAGTAAATATCTTCCTTTCCAAGAGTTAGAGTGAAGCATATTTGTGTCTCTATTACAAAATATAGTTGAGATGGACTATATATATATATACATATATATATAAAATATAATATATTTAAGACTACAATATATTTAATATATATTTATATTTACTTATATAAAAATATATTTATGTTTAATATATATTTATATATGTTATATTTAATAAATATATTTATATATTTTATATATTAATGTATAAAATATATGTAATATAATATAATGATATATAATAATATATATTATATATTATAATATATAATAATATAATATATGGTATAATATTTATTTATATATTTATATTTATATATTTAACATATATTTAACACTATAAGTGTTAGGAAACTGAAGGAGTTATCATTGTATACTCATCAAATTTTCTGGGGTGGTGATTAATATTTTCTAAGTTAATTTTTCATTGGAGAATGTATACTGCATGGTATAAATGCTTTTGAATGCTGCTATTCAAAAGAGAGAGAGAGAGAGTGTGTGTGTGTGTGTATTGCTGATGGGAAGACAAACAATGATATCATTCCTCAAAAGGGCAATATCGTTTTTACATAGCAAGTTTAGAAGGGAATTGCTCCTCTGACAACACAGTCCCACTTCTGGGAATATATCCTACAACTATACCTGTACACGTGTGAAGTGACTCACATGTGAAGTTATTCGTCACAGCATTATGTGTAACAACACAGTCTTGGAAACCACCCAAGCGTCCATCTATAGAGGATGATTATATAAGCGCTGGCTAATCCACAGAGTAAAGTACTGTGTGGCTATAAAAGAAAGAATGAGGAAGCCATCTATATATTGATGTGGAAAGATACTAGGATGTATTGTTAAATAAAGACACAAGACAGAGAATAGTGCAATCTTTTGTAGAAATGGAAGACAAAAAGAATATATATTTATATTTATATCTATATAACATTACAAAAATATACAGGAAATGAATAAAGTGGTCACCTATAAAGGAAAAGGGTGAGCACAGAATTTGGTGGACAGCGATGTGGGTGAGAAGGAAACTTCTCATTATTTGCTTTTTAAAATACAGTTTTGATGCTAGAATCAGGAAAATGTCCTGCCTATTCCAAAAATTAACTTAAAGATCCATATGATATAAAATATGTCTTTCTCCCATGCCATTCCATTCTCCAGAGGTAACCATTTCGATCAGTTTCTTATATACCCTTTCAGAATAGTCCATTGTACTAACTAACTAGTCCAGGAGCTCCAGAGAAACAGAACCAAAAGGATATGTATATATAAATACATATAGAGAGAAGGATTTGTTTGAAGGAATTGGTTTACGTGGTTGTGGGAGTTAGCAAGCCTGAAATCTACAAGGGGAGGCTGATAGGCTGGAGACCCAGGGAGAACTTGGATTGTAGTCTCACATCTGAAGGCTATTTAGAGACAGAATTCCTTCTTATTCAGGGGTCCTCAGTCTTTTTCTCTTAAGGCCTTCAACTGATTGCATGAGGCCCACTCACATTATGGAGGGTAATCTGCTTTCCTGAAAGTCTGCTGAT